CCGCGCCCACGTGCAACTCGAAATGCCCACGTGCAACTCGAAATGCCCTCCGCCTTCCCCGGAAGCAGCTTGTGCTCTAGTTCCTCTGTGGAAACTTTATTTTGTTCTACCTTCTTCTAGAAAGGTGTCCCTGGGAACGCCTTTGGCAGCTTTTGGGCACAAAGACGCAGACTTCGCTCGAAGGTCACTTGGGTCGCTGTAGCGACTTAAAGGTCTTAACAGGCTTTTCCAAATGAATCAACTGCCTCTGCCTGGTCTTGGAAACAAAACACACACGTGCTCATACTTTTTGTCTTCCTGATTGAGGACATGTGATTATACCTGTTGGTGTTTTGCTGTTACTTAAAGACAAGTTTTGTTTGTTTGTTTGTTTGTTTAACTTTTTAACAATTTCGTAAGAAGGGAACCCCTGTGTACCTATCATGTAGTTTCCACATTATCAATTCATGGTTAACCTTGTCCATCTGCCACTTAGGCACTCTTACGGCCTTGTTTGGAAGCAAATCCAAGAACTGTAAATGTGAGGCAAAGTAGCCCACGTCGGCCTCTGGCCCCCAGCATACTCCTCCCTCACTGTAAAAAAGCCATGTTTGTTCATTGTGTTTGTCAGCATGATTTCAGACCCCGACTCAGTAACATCTCAGCCCTCTGGAAGAAAGCCTTGAGGACTAGTAAGCAGGATTAGAACTCAGGTTCGCACTTCTCCTGAGAATCACTGCATTTTTAGAAAAGATACATTCTGTGATCTAGCCCTTGCCTTTTTCTGCACATAACGGACAAGTTTAATAATAATGCCCAGACTTACTCTTGTACCCAAACTTTGAAGAGATTTTGACTGTATATAGCTTCTGGGCCCTTTTAATGTAACACCTGGGCAGAACCTCTTCCACCTAATACATAAAGTGTGCTGACACACTGCTTTGGAGTAGTTTAACAGACATTCTCTGGCTCTCCCTGGTTGCAATCCTTGGTAAGACTCTGAACAAAACTAGCTTAAATTCTTTGAGTCTGATTTTTTTTTCTTTAGTTGATATACCTTTTTAATACATTTTAAATACACAGAGCAGTTTCAGATTTACAGAATAGTGAAATGAAAGTGCTGACTGGGCACGGTGGCTCATGCCTGTAATCCCAGCACTTTGGGAGGCCGAAGCCGGCAGATCACCTGGGGTCAGGAGTTCGAGACCAGCCTGGCCAACATGGTGAAACCCCGTATCTACTAAAAATAAAAATTAGCCTGGTGTGGTGGCTGGCACCTGTAATCCCAGATACTTATGAGACTGAGGGGGAACCTGGAAGGTGGAGGTTGCAGTGAGCTGAGATCCTGCCACTGCACTGCAGTCTAGGTAACAGAGCAAGACTCTTTGTTTCAAAAAAAAAAAAAAAAAAAAAAAAAAAGAAAGAAAGTGCTGTACAGAGTTCTGACAGAAGCCAATCATTTCCCCTATTATTAGTATGGTCTATTAACATGATACATTTGTTACAATTAAAGAACCAACATTGATAACGTTATTAATTAAACTCCATAGTTTTGACTTCCTTAGTTTTTACCTATTGTCCCTTTTCTGATGCAAGATCTCATCCAGGATATTACATTACTTTTAGTTTTTATGGAGCCTTAGGCTCTTCTTGGCCTGGGACTTCCTTTGACTTTTTGTTTTGATGACCTTGATAGTTTCCAGTAGTACTGTCAGGCATTTTGTAGGATGTCCTACTTTTGAAATTTGATGTTTTTCTCCTGGAAGGGAAGGAGTTATGGGTTATTGGAGGGAAGACCACAGAGGTAAAAATGCCATTTTTATTGTATCATATAAAGTGTACATCCTATGAATATAATTATGACAATTGATGTAGGGCTTAGTCATCTGGCTGTGGTCGTATTTGTTAGGTCTTTTTACTATATTCCCTTTTTTCCCTTCCCTTTTCATGTCATTTACACTTTGGAAGGAAGCTATTATTTGAAGCCCATATTTAAGGAGGAGGGAGTTATGCTGTCCCTCTTTGAAGGTGCAGTGTCTACAGAAATTATTTGGAATTCTTCTGCATGGGAGATTTGTCTCTTCTCCTCATTTACTAATTTAATAATAGACTCTTGGATATTTATTTTATACCTTTATAATCCAACACTAATTTATTTCCTTAAGCTCAGATTTTTCCAGCTTTGACCACAGGGAGCTGTTTCGGCTGGTTTCTGTTCTTTCACATTCTATCATCAGGTGGAGGAGTTTTTGTTTGTTAAACACTTTATTACTTTCTGGGATGTTGTATGTTTTCATCCAAAAATATTGTAAGTAAGTGTCTTTAAGAGATTACCACTTTTAAGTGACATCACCAAAACTTAAAAACAATACTTTGTCTTCCTTTTCCTTTCCTTCCTCCTTTTTCTCCTTTCCTTTCCTTTATTTTCCTTTCTTTCTGACAGGGTCTTGCTCTGTCGCCCAAACTGGAGTGCAGTGGCACAGTCATAGTTCACTGTGGTCTTGAACTGCTGAACTCAAGCCATCATTCCGCCTCAGTAGCTGGGATTACAGGTGTAAGCCATGGTGCCTGGCCATAATTTCTTAATATCATAAAATTAGTATTAAATATTTCAAGATACATTAAATGTTTTCTTTTTTTTTTCTTTTTCGAGATGGGGTCCCACCATGTTCCCCAGGCTGGTCTCAAACTCCTGAGCTCAAGCAGCCCACCTTGGCCTCCCAAAGTGCTGGGATTACAGGTGTGTGCCACTACGCCCAGCCACTCTAATGTTATCTTACATAGTTGGTATGTTCAAATCAGGATCAAAACATCCTGCATTTGCACTCAGTGATATATTTTAAAAAGAGATTTCTCTTTAAGTCCTATACTTCTCTTGCAATTTATTTATTACAATAACTGCAGGGTTTTTTTTCCATTCAATTTTGTTGATTGCAAAATATCCCCCTGGCAAAAATACTTCACAGGTGGTGTTGTGCTTCTCTATTGCAGCATTTCTGAAGATATAAAATATGTAATTGTTTCACTGTGGAGGATATTAACATTGATCAAGTAGGTTCAAGTGTTGTCAGCCCCATCCATCCATTACAATATGAAGTTTCCTATCAGTTTTTCATCTAATGCTTCCAGACTCACAGATGATCATTACCTAGATCTATTATTTCATTAGAGTTTGCAAAATAGTGATCATCTTTCTTTCTGCATTTATTACATGGAGTTCTATAGAGAAGAACTTCCCCACATTGTCTATTTGATTGACATTCACTTTGCAACAGGAAAGGTAAGATGAAAGCCTGATTATTCACCTTTCTCAGTTCTCAGACTGTAACAACTTTTTGGCATCTTTCCAAGAGGGTCAATGACATTAAAAAAAAATGCACTCACTGATTTTTCACAAAATTCGTCTCAACTCGTTGCTGTTATTATTTTTGAATGCTAAATTTGTCCTGTTAGAGAAGTTGGAGCATCTTTGAACTGGCTTCTGAGTCTTTTGGGCACAGTTCACGCTATTTTTGCTTTGCTTTCTTTCTTGCTCTCTGCTACAACCAATATGTCCTAGGCTGTCTTGCATATTTCTTGACCTGACCGGGAATTAGCACTTAAACTCCAGGAGGAGCCAAGGTAATTTTTTTGGGGGAAAATGATATTTAGAGATCATAATCTGGAGAATAGGAGTCTGCAATGGGTTGGTTATTGTTTTAGGAGTTTTCAGTGGACACACCTTTTTTTATGAAAGAAAAATGTACCATGAGTTAATTCTGATTATTTCCAAATTCAAATATAGGATTGCAGAATTTTAATGTAATGTCTTTGGTTTATATTTGTATTTCTTTCCTCTTAGAGTGAAAAACATAGTTTCCAAAGACGTATTTATATGCTTTATATTAATTGTAAATTCAGAAACAGAAATAGCAATATCAGTGTTATTACTGGCAATCTGAATACTGAAAACAGCTTAAGGTTTCTTCAGTTTTTTCCCCTTGGATTAATGTCTCCCTAGGAAGATTTGGTTGCTTTATTGTTTTAAAGTCAAGCCATTTCTGTGACAAGATACTTTAACTGCAAAATGTGCTTCAATGTAGTACCTTCATTTAAGGAGGAGTGAGGTGCCATCATACCTCCGTGTGTGTTTTTTGCCAGCAGTATCGAAGAAGCTTAATAGAATGGTAGTAAGTTTTTTTTTTTTTTTTTTTTTTTTTTTTTTTTTTTTTTTGTACAAACTCTTGCACTGCAGAAGCTTCTGAATTAGCTATTTTCATTCATGAGATGTGTATGAGTCCTAAACCAAAGAACATCGTTTCCCGGACTGAGGAGGTTTGCACAACCTCCAGAGACCGAACTGCTTATCTTCCTTCTCTGGCCCCGGCGGGGCAACCGTACCCAATACACTTTTTGTTGCCATGCTGCGTGCCAGGTTACCCAGCCGGGAGAGGACACTCCCTGCTATCAATGCACTCAGTCTGGAGCCAGGGGCGAAGGCACCGACAGTTTATTATTTAACAATGGCAGCAACGCCAAGCTAAAGACACGAGTGCGCTGTTATGGAACCCCCCAGAAGTTTCCCCCAGGGCTGAATCGTCTACTTGGCAGGTAGCCTGCTCCTGGCGACTCCGCCCACATCAGGTGCAAGGTTTACGCATCAGAGCCGGGAAGCCACGATTTCAAATTCTCTTTTATTGCTTTATGTCCCTGACTCATGCAGGCCAAAGGGTGAGGAGGAGTAATAGCCAACAGGAGCGTCCTGCAGAAAGAAAAAACCTGCGTGGGTCCAGAGGAGCGTTAAGATTGTCAGGACCGCATCAAGAGAAGCAGAGCCTGCTCTCCAGGTCCGCGGGGGCGTTGGTGCCCAGCCTGGCTGAGCGAGTGCGGGGCGGGGCCTCCCCGGCCGCGAGGTGGGAGGCGGAGCTCCGCCGGCCCCGCCCACTGCAGACAGGTTACCCAGGACCTCAAGGTGCGTCGCGTCACCCCGCCCGCGCCGCGCTGATTGGTTCCTCCAGGGAGCCCCCGCCCCCTCAGCTGTAGCCGAGCCGGCTTCAGCGTCGCCGCCATCTTTGTTGATGTGTCAGCTCCGCGGGGGCCTGGGGGAATCCGCGACTGCGGGAGTGAGGCGTCGGCTCTGCTTCTTACCGCGGTCTTTTCCTCCCACTCCTGGCTGGTCGGACCCCGTTATGGAAAAGTTGGCCCCTGAACCAGAGCTCCAGCGGCCTCGTTAGGGTGTGGCCTGAGGCTTGGAGAAGTGGGGTGAGTGTCTGAGGGGCGCTCGGGGCAGACTGGGGAGTCGGCGGTGGCGGCGCAGTGGGGCTGACAACCTTCGGCTCCATCCTGCAGGTCCGGGGGCGGGCGGCGGGCGAGGGCCAGGGCGAGCCGGTTCCTCGCCTGGCTCTTCTGAGGGCTCGGAGGACGGGAGGGCTCGGGAACAGGTTTCAAGCCCCTTCCGCTCCCTGCCTTCCTCCTTCGGTTTCGGGACCTTGGAGGCGGCGGAGAGGGGTCAGCGGGGGTCGCAGGGGCTGTGTCTGGAGAGCGGCCGAATTGGAGCCCATTGCCAGGGCTGCGTGTGAGCTGCAGCCAAGCCCCACCTGCTCGAGAATCTTTCCTAGACTCAATCACCTATTTCACTTTTCGTCTCAAGTTGTCTGTATGTGTGTGTTTTATGTTTGCTGTTGTGATGACTTGTTACCCTCTTCCAGACACTTCCATTACTGTGATTTTAAGTTTCTTAGAAATGATTCTTTGGAGTGGCCGATGCTGCTCTTTATGTTGTCTTTCAAGGACATCAAGGCATTTCATAAACCTTGGTTGGTAAGGGAGGGGTTTCAGATGTATGTCTCCATCTGTAGTGAAAAATGGTCAAACAAACAAAAAGCCCTTCCACGTGTCCCCAAGTAGCAATCTTGGGAAACAGTGCAGGTGTAATTATTGTAAGTTTAACAACTTCAGCTAATATTCCCATCTTGATTTTGTTTAGAGGAAAGAGGCCTGGATTTGGAGTCAGAACATCTGGATTAGAATCCTGCTTCTTTCACTTGATAATCTTGTTACGTATGGGAATCAGAAGAGAGAATATAGTAAAAATATGCAGTACAGTTCCAGGTACTTGGCCGTTTTCTCTGCATGTGTGTTATGTTCCTTTGATGCTCAGCTTTTTGTTTCTTCCAAAACACTAGGCCGGGTGTTGTCTTCTAAGTTGTGCAGTAAATGACCAGCACACAGGAGGTAGTCATTCAGAAAAAATCTGCTATTAACTATTTTGGTATGCTAGTTGTGAGTGTGGCTTTCCCAACTACTGACTACACCTAGTATTTACAGAGTGTTCATCCTGTGGGAAGGATTCGGTTTCAAGAGACACTGATAGTGAAACTGAACTATCTCTGTGTGTAATGTACACTGTTCCCCGTGTAACTTCTTTATCCACCATTACACAAATAAAAACGGTAATAATTGGCCAGGTTCATTTTTTTCTTTTATTTTTAGTCTTTTCATGTTATTTTCAATTCAGTGAAGACGTTAGATCACAAATCTTGCAGTAGTAAAAATTAAAACTCCTTTTTACGGCATTATAGGCAGACATGTATAATTACTGAAGATTCTGCCTGGAAGTGCATGGATTGTGTGTGTGTGTATGTTTTTAAGGCCCTGTTAAATTCAGAATAACTGCATATAAACTTAAGATTTCTTTAAACAGTGGAAATACCGTAGTGTGTCATCGGCTTTGAGTCCCATTTATTGCTAACGGAAAGGGTTGATTAGTATCACAGCGACCACTCTAACCTTTTAGTTCCTTCACTCATAAACCGAAGAGTTGTCCTTTAATGCTGTGCAGTGACAGCATACTGAGGATGATTGCTTAGTATGTTCAGTTTAGAAACATCTATTTGCAGCTTTATGCTGACATCATGGAGTGAAGATAAAAGCATTGCAGTATACTGACTCTAGGGAAGAGACAGTAGGTTGAAGCACAAAGCAGCCTTATTTAGAGATTTAGAAAATAATCTTTCCCTTTGGAGAATGACTAGTAATCTGTACTGGGTTCCCAAATTCATCCAACAGTTTCGTGTTAAAGTAAAAATCCTTACCCTGAATTTTTTTTTTTTCTTTTTAGTAAAACTTAAGTTTTTCTTTTATGTCTACCTTTAAATAACTAAAGCTGATTGTTCAATTTCTGGTTCTTCAGTTTCTCATAAACATATCACTGAGTTTACAATATTGCAGATGTTACAATTAGTATTCATTTTAGGGGCAGCAGTGAGATCATAGATAATTTCATCTTTTATTGTTTCAAACTGCTTTGAACTTTCTTAGCTACTGAGATTTAAAAAATTTATTGGGCTAAAAGGAAAAAAAAGGAAAAATACTGAGATGAAGGGCAGTAGATACAAAGTAGAAATCAGCCCCAGCATAGTTTTGATTGGATTGAGTATATTTCTTACTAACATTTGTCACTAAGACACAAGGAGTGATAGTCGTAGGATTATGTAGACTATGTAGTGTCTACTGCACTTACTGCCTAACCTTATAGTAGACAATCAGTTTATTTATTTATTTTTTTTTATAAACTATAGCATACCAAATTAACCAACCTTGGCCATAGGTGGCTTCAAAGTGTAAACATTAACCCAAACTTTTTAATATAATGGCTTATAACTTGCAAAAAAAATTTTTTTTAAAGGTATTAGCCTTTGTTTTGTTAAGTTTTTTGAGACAAGATCTCAGTCTGTCACCCAGGCTGGAGTATAGTAGTATGATCATAATTCACTGTAGCCTTGAACTCCTGGGCTCAAGCAATCCTCCTGTCTTGGCCTCCTGAGTAGCTATGACAACAGGCACAGGCCACCATGCTAATCTTTTTAATTAAAAAAACCATTATTATATTAGACCGGATCTTGCTGTCTTTCCCAGGCTAGTTTTCAGATTCGGAAGAAAGCTAGCTGATAATACTTTTTGTGCTTATTTAGACTCATTAAAGTGCAAGTGCAAGCTTCAAATTAGATTTCATTTCTTCTCTTTTTTTTTTTTTTTTGGTGTGACGGAGTCTTGCTCTTGTTGTCCAGGCTGGAGTGCAGTCTTGGTTCACTGCAACCTCCGCCTCCCGGGTTCAAGCGATTCTCCTGCCTCAGCCTCCTGAGGGATTATAGGCATGCTCTAGCACTCCCAGCTAGTTTTGTATTTTTAGTAGAAACGGGATTTTTCCATGTTGGCCAGGTTGGTCTCGAATTCGTGACTTCAGGTGATCCACCTGCGTTGGTCTCCCAAAGTGCCAGGATTATAGGCGTGAGCCACAGTGCCCAGCCTCAAATTAGATTTCTACATTAGTCTAATAACTTTCTGCTTTAGTAAAGTTTTATAGAAGGTCTGTAAAATTTCCAAACTGATAGGACGTGTATGATGTAACTTGATAATGTGATGTATGGTGTGGTCACTGACCCTCTTTTTCATGGAATTTTGATGGGCCATAATTTCTCTTTGTCCTGTTATTCTATCATAGGATTTGGTACTATCTGGGAGTTGGTGGAGGGTGGGGGTCTTGCTACATCTATTGCCCAAGTCTTTTTTGAAACATCTTCGTGTGTGTGTGTGTGTGTGTGTGTGTGTGTCTCAGATATAAAGCACATATCATAAAGTTCACCTTGCTGTGAGTCCTGGGTCTAAAGCTAAACATACTCCCATAGGGATAAATAACCTTGGCCTTATAAAACAAACTTTTCAAGCTGGTGAACTAAAGGAAACTTTTTTATTCTGGTGCTATATTTCACCTAAAAGAATCAGTATATTACAGTTACGTTTGTGTCAGTCATGGTGGCTCACATCTGAAATCCCAGCACTTTTTGGGGGTTGAGGTGAGAGGATTGCTTGACATCAGTAGTTTGAGATCGTCAGCCTGGGCAATGTAGCAAGACCCTATCTCTACAAAACATTTTTAAAAATTAGCTGGGTTTGGCAGCATATACCTGTAGTCACAGCTTCTTAGGAGGCTGAGGTGGGAAGATAAGTTGAGCCCAGGAATTTGAGGTTGCAGTGACCTATGATTATACTCCAGCCTGGATGACTGAGCAAGACCCTGTCTCTGAATAATAATAAATTGAAAAACTAAATTTCACCCTGAAGTTTAATAGGATGCGACTACTTTAAAAATTATTTCTTCCTTTTTTTTTTTAAATAATTTAGAGTTTTTTAAATAGCCCCTCGGTTTTTATCTTTTAAAAGCAGAATTTGATCTGCATAAATTCACTTTGTATGAAACTTCGGTGTCAGATATTTCCATCACGTGAAACAACATTTTCATGTTTCTTACACAAGTTCTTTTCCATCCTATTATTCTATTTTTAAAAAGCTAAGTTAAAAATATTAGCTGGGTGTAGTAGTAGGCACCTTGTAGTCTTATCTACTTGGTGCCTTAAGTGGGATGATTGCTTGAGCCAGAAGTTTAAAGCTGCAGTGACTCAGGAGGCTGAGGCAGGAGAATTGCCTGAACCCAGGAGGCGGAGGTTGCGGTGAGCCGAGATCGCGCCATTGCACTCCAGCCTGGGTAACAAGAGAGAAACTCCATCTCAAAAAAAAAAAAAAAAAAAAAAAAAAAAAAGCTGCAGTGAGCTATGATTGAGCCACTGCATTCCAGCCTATGTGACAGAGTGAGACCCTGTTTCTAAACATGAATAAATAAATAGCTAGCTAGCTTTATCCAGAAAGTGTTTGTCTTTTAATGTTTTTATCAAAAGTCAATTATTTGGGGTTTGTGAGCAGGTTACATTGAACTGTGTGGATGCTTTTTTGATTTGATTTTTACTTCTGACATTAATTCCCACATCAAAATAGTTTTAGAACTATTCAGAAAGATGTTTATTCTTCTATTTATGATGCTTTCAAAGTGTTTTTGGAGAATACATAAAAACTCTTTTGATGTAGGTACTTTTCCTACAAAGGACAGTAAACCATTATATTGAAGAACAGGAGTGGTCTCAAGTTCAGTTTACCTAATGGATATTATTTGAGAAGTGTACAGCTGGTATTATTTAAGAATGGTATAGGCTGGGCATGGTGCCTCATGCCTGTAATCCCAGAACTTTGGAAGGCCGAGGCAGGCAGATCGCTTGAGGTCAGGAGTTCAAGAGAGCCTGGCCTACATGGTGAAACCCCATCTTTACTAAAAATACAAAAATTAACTGGATATAGTGGCATACCCCTGTAATCCCAGCTACTTGGGAGGCTGAGCAGGAGAATTGCTCAAACCTGGGAGGTGGAGGTTG